CAGATATATATTCCGTGACTTATAATATATAATATATTGTAGGATTCGTGAAAAAAATAACTTAATCGGGACCCGAATCCGAATTTTACATTTTAATATATATATAAATATAAAATATATATATTACACAAGTACATTATATATATATATAATAAAAAATGTAGGCAACAAACCTGTGGATGAATGGGTGGTGCCGAATGAACGAGTCTGCCTGTAAGAGAATTGATTTTTTCCTTTTTGGTGCGTACCCATTCGTGACCAAGTACTCTGTCAAGAGTTAGTCTAAGGGTGATATCCGGTTCAAGGATATGTCTAACAATACTCTTCGCTGAGGTGGAAACAGCTTCTCGTACTCGAGATCTGAATACCCAATTCCTCGACATTTGATCTTTCAGAAGTTTTCTCAAATTGGAGTCATCGAAAGGCATCGATGCATTCAGCATGATAAAAAGAATGATACCGAGTGACCAAACATCAGCTAATTTAGGATTGTACGGTGTACCCGAAACAACTTCAGGTGCAGCATAAGCAGCAGATCCGCAATAAGTTCTACTTAATACTCGTCTACCTTCGTGATCTATGCAAAATCTCGCAAATCCAAAATCAGCGAGTTTAACGTTAAATTTTCTCGACAAGAGAATATTCTCGCATTTTAAATCTCGATGTGCTATATTCTTGCTGTGAAGATATTGCAATCCCGATGCCATTTGACGAAACCATAATTTTGATTGTTGTTCTGGTACAACACCATTTCTTGTTACGAAATCCAATAGATCACCATTGTCCGCATAACGCATGAAGATGAAGACTCTTGGTCCACGTTGCAATATACTGTGCACCTGTATTACGTATTAATACACCCGATCGATCGAAAATACAAATATATAATATATATATATATATAAATATATATATTAATTGATTAACCGAAATTAGGAGTGTCCTCTTTTGAACGAACGTTCTCATAAAGAACGTTTCTTACTTGAATAATATGAGGGTTTTCTATCTTCGTTAATATCTCTAATTCCCTAGGAAAAAACTTCTCGAGAAAATCGGGCGGTGCTTTTTCCTTGTCAAAGATTTTACAAGCCAATCGCATTTTTTTCGAACTTGTCCCGTCGACATATTCAGCCAAATGTACAGTCGCATAGGAACCCTAAGCGATTATTTTATACCGTTTTATAATATTTAATTAATCCAATAAGAATCTGTTCTTATACAGGTGTAAACGATAGAACAGATAATTAGCTAACAAAATATAATAATAAGGGAATAACGAAAAGACAAATATTGTTTTAATAATTTCAAAGGGATGATCATCTAAATATAATCTTTGTTTCTAATAATGAAGAAAAGGAAAACAGCAAGAAACCTGTCCGATTTTCTTGCCAATCAAATAGCCCCTCTGTTCAAGTGCGTTTACTTCCGAATTTCGGGGGCTCAGTCGTGTGGCCATGCCAGTGATACTTCATTGGGGGTTGTTCACCAATACTCAACAATAGGCAACCATAAGGATCACACTTTTGTTTGCTTCTTAAGAAATGATCTTTTTAATATCCACCTAATTCCTATGCTTTCCTCCTTGTTTATTTCTTCTTTTTTTCTATCTTTATTTTTTGTATTTTGTATCTATCACAACCTTACTGTCACACACTGTCATTTAACAAAATTTCAAATTATCAACATTAGCAGGAAGGGCTATAAATATGTGAACCGAAGGGTGGGTGGGTAGCTAGCTAGCTAGCAGTTTCCTTTACATTAATAATCCACTCCCGTGGATCCCTTTTGTCATTTCAATTAGCTACGGTCACTAGAATTTTGTACGTTGATATACCAGCTTGTTGAGCTTGGTGTGAAAGCCGGGCAGAACAAAAATTCGTGTATCATTCGAGCGTAGCCATTATACGGGAAAAACAATATACTGTTGATTTACATCTACGCTACTTTCATCATTATTTATCGATTTTGCGATATATTGTATATAGAATTTGATGGATCTTTTTTTAATTGGTCTTCATATTTTATCGATTATTAGAATTCAATTTATTGGAGTTTATTCCTTAAAAATCGATTTTCATATAAGGCGCCCGGTATGAAAAAAATATGAAGAATAAAATTTAGTAATCGAATGACCAAGTTACGTTTATTGTGCGGATCTTTCACTTTTTTGTAATGTGTTTGTATAACTTGTATACTTATGTGCTGCCGACGTATACAGGGTTTTTAGAATTATTAATGATTAATTTATAATTTTTCTACAAAATATATTTTACATACTTAAACTTTAACATTTCACTCAACTATGAAAACGATTATTTAATTCAAAAAGTAAGTTACTCGAGTGAGCCACTACAGTGGCGCATAGATCTAGAAAAAATATTCGAAAAAGCCACTTTTGTGGCAGGTCGGTTATGCACCATATCGGTAATAGTAGTGATCTACCTTTATCTCATCGACAGTCGGTAATACGACTTACCGACTGAGAAGATCTGATGGTAACTTAATTACCGACCGAGAAGATTTGATGATAACTTACCTACATGGTAAGACGTATTATCGACTATCGATAAGATAAAGGTAGAGCTCTACTATTACCGATATGATGCTAGTAAGGTACTGCTTTTATATATGGTATTATATATTTTGTTACGAGCCTCCTAAGGGTTAAACAATATATGTAAGAAATAATATTTTAATAATTAAATAATTACTAGATATAATAATGATATATTAATAAATAAATTTCATGTAGCTGTACATTTTTTAAATTTGAAATTACACGGTACAATGTTGCCACTATTAAAGACAAATTAATTTTTTTTTCTATTGGCAACAAAAGTAATTATTTTTTCGTCTCCATCACTTCTTCTGCAGCAGAAGGTTAGTTAATTGTTTATCAAATAATTTTACAATATTTATTCTAATACTATAGATTTAAAAGTACTTAATATGCATTAATAAGTGCATAAGAAATAAATGCATAAGAATGTGCGTGTATGTTATTACAAATTTTTCATTAACACAGATTTCATTTTTATTTATAATTTGCAGATAAAACAGTTGCAGAAGAGTAATCAAAGAAGACACAAATATTTAGATAAATCAAAGTAATAAAAAGAAAAAGTAATGTAAGTTTAATATACATTAAGAAGAACAATATAAACTTAATATCGTATTTTTCAAATGATATCGTTGAATTATGTATCGTGAATTGAGAAATAATTAATCAAAATAATCATATAATGTCAAGGAGTACTATAAATCTTCTAAGCAAATTTATTTTACGAACTTGTTTAAGAGGACGTAAAATAATTAATGTAAAACAAATACAAAATCGAACTTTCAGTTCGAATGCTGAACAATCTGGGAAAAGAATTTTAGAATGTTTAAACGAAAGATCCGTATTACGTGTTAGTGGAAATGAATCTGCTGCATTCTTACAAGGTTTAATAACTAATGATATAGGACATTTACATGAAGGTTCTGCTAGTATTTATTCTTTATTCTTAAATATCAAAGGTAGAGTTTTGTTTGATACTATTTTGTATAAGAGCAAAGAAAACAATGTTTTTTATATAGAATGCGACAGTGAAGTAACGAAATCTTTAGAGAAACATTTAAAGATGTATAGAGTAAGAAAAAAGATAGATATATCGTTGTTAGATAATGATATGAAAGTTTGGTTTATGTTTGATCCAACTGAGATCACTATTGATGGTAAAGAAAATGTAAACGATACTTTGGAAGGTTCTATTTTTCCTTGCGGTACTAATAATAATAAAGGCAGCAAATTTATAGACAATGTTATAATATGCGAAGATCCTAGATCATCGAATTTTGGTTTAAGAATTCTGGCTGAATCTAATATCGAAAAATCAGAAATTATCAAATATTTGGATCCTAATATCACAGTTTCTAATGATAATTTAAGTTATAAAGAATATAGATACAAAATTGGTCTTGGTGAAGGTGTCAGCGATTTACCACCAGGCAAACCATTACCTTTGGAAATTAATTGTGATTATTTACATGGTGTTAGTTTTTACAAAGGTTGTTATATTGGACAGGAACTAACAGCTCGTACTTATCATACTGGCGTAGTTAGAAAACGTCTGTTACCTTTGATATTTGATCAGATTCCAACTATATCTTTTGAATTTGATGATAAAATTATTGACGAGTCTGGTAAAATAATAGGCAGTTATCGGGGACACAGTAATAAACACGGTTTAGGATTAATGCGTTTAAATGAAACATTTAATGCTAAACAAATTGAAATACAAGGATGTTCAATAAAAATAATTAAACCTGCGTGGTGGCCGCGTGATTCTAAAATAGGAGTATCTACTCAATAAAGAAATTAAATCTAATTATTATTATTATTATAATTATATGAACGTTAAATAAAATTATTGTAGCTTAAAAATGAAATGAAATCAAATGTAATTTTAAATCTTATCTCCGTTTTTATTATTTTTCTTTTTTTTCTTTTTATAGATGACTACTACTTCAACGATACAAGAATCTAAGGAAAAAACGAGAGAAATTTTTACATGTTCTTTCTGCCCTTTACAAGAATATTTTGATTTTAAGGGCACGAAACCTCCTTTCGCACGACATATCACTTATTCAGAGGAATGTTATATTATGAAAGATCCTTTTGATTTATCAGCAAAAGGTGTTCTAGTTATCGGTGGCGATTGTAATATTTGCAAAAAGCCGGTGTGCTTAGGATGTAGTATATTTTTTACCAAAAGATTTTGTCAAACTTGCGCTACCAATAATTCGGATAAATTACCATTACAAATTCTTTCGAAAATTAAAACATGATACATTAGTTATATTATAAAAATCAAATTATATTTATTAGCACTAGAAAATATCTAATTGAGATTTTATTTATAATTTTGTAATTTTTAAAGTATACAATTTTTTAATTAAAATTCTATATTATTCCGAAACAAAATAATTGCGTCCATGTAGTATTCTTGTTTTTTTTTCTTTTTTTTTTTAAAATCAATTATTTTCTTATTGTTTACAAGTTTTAAAAAAAGAGTCATTTTTTTTTAAAATAATGTTATAAACTTCGTTATTCAACGATTATGATAATAACGGTAAAATGTGACTTCATATCATGTTTAACTAAATATAAAAGAACTTAAAAGTGAACAAAAAAATACGATACAATATCTATGGCAGAAGATTCTGTGCACTTAAATATATTCTGTACATGGATGAAGAAAAACGTAAAAACTTAATTAGTTTTTATATGTTTTCAAATAATTTTTCATTAGCTTAGACGTCATCTTCTTTTTCTTTTCTACTTTGGCTTTCTGTCCTTGAAAAGAAGTAGCTACCTTTTTTGATGCATTTGGGCTGTTATTTTTTTGCGATTCGTTCTTAGTTTTCAATTTCTTTTTATCATTTTCCTGTAATAAAAAAGAGTAAAAAATAATAAATTAATATATCTTATAGAATTGTGTGTGTTAATACAATTAAATAAATATAATGAAATTTACTGTTGGAGTAGTTCCATCGCTATCGCTAGATTTGAACTTTTTATTAGATTTAACTTTCTTTACAACTGGGAATGATCGTTTTTTCTTGTTGATTAATTTCTTTTCTTTTTGGTCATTTACAGAACACCGTTGTACTCGTATCTCTCGATTTAGAAGAGTTGATCCATTTAATTCCAATGCTAAAGATACAGAATCTTCATTTTTGAAATTAACATATCCTATTCCTTTTCCTATACCCAATTTTTTATTTTTGATTAATCGTACTGAATGAATTTCTCCGCACGGTTTGAAATGTTCCCAAAGATCATTATCTTGGATTGCTAAAGATAACGACACAAACATTAGACAAATGATATTTTAATCAAAAATAATAAGACAGAAAATAAAAAAGAAATCTACAACATTACTTACTGAAAGGTAAATTTCCTAAAAAGACAGCTTTCTTTTCGTCTGGTTTAATTCTTGAATTCTTATCAACAATGTCTACTTTCAAATAATTCCCTTTCAATTGTTTTCCATTCATACTTGTTGCTTTCTTAGCACCTTCCTCTAATTTATATATAATAAACATAATGATAGTCTCAACTTTTGGATGAATCTTTTTTTTTATAGCAGCTACTTTTTTAGACATTTTCAAATCAATAGGTATTACCGATCTTACTCTAATACTTTCGATTTCACCGAATTTCTTAAATAATTTCCTAATTTCTTCCTTCGTTACTTGTTTCGGAATATTGCTGATAAAAATTGTTCTCGAATCATTTTTGGATTCAGAAGAAACCTTTTTTTTAACTACTTCAGAATCCGACTCATCGCTTATATCAATATCTTCATCATCTTGACCATCATCTTTGAAATCTTCATCATCATCATCGTCGGTAGCAATACTGCTTGCTAAAAGATCTTTCAAACCAGGACCAGTCTCTTCCTCCTCCTCATCTTCCTCATCCTCCTCATCATCTTCATCATCATCTTCATCATCATCATCATCATCATCATCAGCAACATCATTTTCATCCTCATCATCATCATCATCGTCATCATCATCATCAGCAACATCATTTTCATCCTCATCCTCATCATCATCATCATCATCATCATCTTCCTCTACTTTACCTTTATTCTTTTTGGTCAAAGTATTTGATTTATTATTAATATTATTCGTACCTTTGCTTAAAGCTTTCGATTTCAATTTTTGTTTAGTATTATTTTTTAAATCCAATTCATCGTCTAAGTCTTCATCGCTTTCATAATCATCTTCAATTTCATCGGTAGAATCATTATCAGTATTTTTAATTCCTTTAAACATTTTCACTCCTTTATTCAACGAAGCAGAATTGTCTACATCACTATTATATTCATACTCGTCTTCATCGGGTTCTTCATCTTCAACAAAATCTGTATCATCCTCATCCGTATTGTCCCCCAAACTTTTTCCTAAAATATCTTGTATATTAATATTACTATCATTTGCTGAAACACTACTACTACTATCACACGCTGTTATATCCTCATTCGTATCATCCAAAGATTCATCGGATTTAGTTTTCTTCGATGCCAAATTCTTGTTGTCTTTAACAAATTGTTTGTTGGATTTCTTTTTATTCTTTTGTTGAGAAGCATTGTTATTATTAACCGGTACTTCCGAATTCTTTTTTTGTTTCTGTTTGTTATTAGATTGATTCATATTGTTCTGATTACTTTGTGTTTTCTTATCATCCATCAAGTGTACTTTACTAACCACTGTTTTAGCAAATTTATTATTCTTATTTTTATTTTTCTTAATAGGATTATCCTTAACAACTTTAGATGGTTTATTCAGAGTTTGATCTGCACCTTTTCCATTAGATTTAACTTTAGTCATTTTATTTTATATAAAATACTAAAATATTCTAAATATATGCTAGAACAAAAAAAAAAAGAACAACAACATTTATTTAGCATATAAATATATATCAGAAATTCAGAAATATATATATATATATATATATATATATATATATGTGTTTATACACACATATGAATATATTTGTCATCAATACTAATTCAACCGAATTTTTATACTTGGTTAAAATTTCTTATAAAAACCGGTAATGGTAAGCTTAGTATTGAGACCTTGATTTACACAATTTTAATTAATATAATATTTTTTTACAGTATTAATTTATATCTAATATAATTGAGAGTTAAATATATATATGAAAAGACATATCAAGCTAAACGATTATAGTCATTTGAATAACAGTTTCAAAATGTGTTATAATTCAGGTTACCGAATGCACGTGTGCGTTTTTAGGAGGGAAATTGCAAGGAATACTTTGAAATGAAGAAAAACGATAAATTAAGGAACGCAGTAAATAATTTTTAATATTAAATAAATATTAATAATTACCTTGGAGCTATTTATTTAATAATTGAGACAATTATTAATAAAAATAATAGTTAATTTTTATCTTAATTCACACGCCGATATTTACCGGTGACTTTCCGTTGCAAAGCAAGACTCAAAATGGACGAGAACGGTTACACCGTATCGGTAAATTTGATCATTTGTACCAACCTTTTAGACGTATAAAAACAAATTTATATAACTATAAACCATCTAGAGAAAAACTACTGAAGAAAAGTATTATACCTAATAGTTTCAAATTTAAATAAAGGAAAAATAATGAAACATTTTTTTAATATTCTTTTTTAAAAAATAAAATCTCAATTAATGAGATTTTTATTATAATGCAATTAAGTTGATAAAAGTTAATTCTTTTGATTGATTTATTATTTAGGGATTATTTCATCTAGTAACTTCGTAGCTTATTTGTTTTAGAACGCGGTATTATTGATCATAATTTTTATTTATTATATAAACAATTACGACGAAGATTGAAGGAGAAAAAAATGAACAAATAATAATTGTAATTAGTGTGTTTGCATTTTTTACGAAACGCTAATAATTTTGGTCGTAACAATAAATACGAATACAAAATAAAAAAAGAATAACGAGTATAGTAACTATTTTTATTCAAAATACATACTATATTTTGTGCGATCTATATTTATCCATATCCGGTCTCTAAGTTACCATAACAATTGAAAATTCTTCGAAAAAAAATGACTTATATATTAACATTTGTTAATTCCACAAGTTATATAAATTTACACAAATTACAAAAAGAAAGATAACAATTATTTGTCACTAGAAGAAAAAATTTCATTTCTCACTATCTTTGTGATTGGTGTAAACTCATCTTAATATCGTAAATTAGATTTTTTTAAAATTACCGCAAGCATCTTTTCCGGAAATAACTGTACGAGGAAATACGTGACGTCACTTCCTTTTAGTACCATTCTAATACGTCATTGCATCACGTGACACCAGTTGTATTATACGAATGTCATTCGAGTTTTTTTAACCTAATTTAACTTTAATAAGTGTTACCATTAATATACTTTTCTGCATTATTATTTAATATCTTTCGATTTTTGACAAAGGGTGATTACAGTACTTTATACAAAACGTATCACATGTGCAGTTTGTTTCCATAAAAAATAATTATTATTTGTAGTAAGAAAGAGAGAGAGAGTATCATAGGTTATTAAAAGGTAATAAAAAGTATAAGGATAAAAAAACATATTTGATAAAATTAATGACAAATTAAATTGTATTTTAATAAAATTGTGAAAAAGTACATCACATAAAGAAAAATGTCGGAACGTAAAGTGTTAAATGTAAGTATAATCAAATAGATATATTTTTATTTAATCATATGCATTGCATCATTTGGATTAACATTAAGATACATGTGTATTTTTTTTAGAAATATTATCCCCCGGATTTCGATCCATCGAAAATTCCGCGCATGAAATTAGCGCGTAATCGACAATATACAGTTCGTTTGATGGCACCATTCAATATGAGATGTAAAACATGCGGAGAATACATTTATAAAGGGAAAAAGTTTAATGCTCGCAAAGAGGACGTCGAAGGGGATGATTATTTAGGAATACGTATTTATAGATTTTATATTAAATGTACACGATGTTTACAAGAGATATCATTTAAAACTGATCCAAAGAATACAGATTATGAAATTGAAGCTGGTGCTACTAGAAATTTTATGGCATTAAAATTAGCGGAAGAACAAGCACAAAGGGAAGAGGATGAAGAAAAAGAAGAAGAAGCTACTAATCCGATGAAACTTTTGGAAAAAAGGACGCAACAATCTAAACAAGAATTGGAATTATTAGAATCGTTGGAAGAATTAAAAGATCTCAATCGACGTTTATTGCAGTCGATTGATTTTGAAGAAATGATTGAACAATTTAATACGACTAAACAGAGGGTAGAGAAAGAACAAGAAGAATTAGATGAACAATACATTAAATCGGTGTTTGGTAATAAAAATCAAAAAGGTGTTGTCGTGGAAGAAGAAATTGTAGAATTGGATGAAAGCGGTCCTCCTAAAAAAATGTTAAAAACAAAAGATAAAGATAGCAATAATTTAGATTCCAGATTGGATGATACGGAATCTAAAGAAACTGTATGTTAATATATTTATATATCTTTGCATTTCATTCATATATTTTTAAATATAATTAACACGTTTTTTATTTTTCAACAGAATGATATACATTTATCGGGACCATCTACAAGTACATGTACAACTGCCAAAAGTTCGGTATTTTCAAATGATACCAAGACATCATTTAATAAAAAGAATCTAGTTATTGTTAAAAAGAAAGTAAATTTAGGTGTAAAAACTAATCAAAGTAACAATAATGAGAAAAACGTTACAATGAAAACTGTTAAGTTACCGGAAGTAAACTCAGATAAAGTTAATAATGTTAGTGAAAATACAGTGCCTAGTTCTGGTAATGTTGGAAATAGTCTTTCTTTATTAACAGAATATTCCGATAGTAGTAGTGACAATGACAGTAATTAATGCAACTAATATTAATTAATTGCATTTAAGATAATATATATATACATATATATATAATAAATATATATATATATTTATTTATTTTATAAGCTTTCCTAATATAAATATATTGTACAAAGAAACGTGTGTATAGGTGTATAGTGGTTTTACAAAATGATTCCGAATAGAAGAATTTGATTTAATTTGTGTAGATTATAGGTAAGACATAATAAAAAGTTCTCACAAGTAATTAATTTAAATAAATATAAGCCATGTGTAAACTATTCTGTAGTTAAAAAAAATCATCGGTGCTATCATAGACTATCAATTAACAAACAAAAATTCTTACAATTGCATACAATTTTTTGTTTAAAACGATATCAAACGATATATATTTTAAATTCTTCCAAAATATTAATTTTATACAGAGCAAGTAAATGGCGATGACAAGAATGTTTCTTACAGGATGCCAAACCCTCTACTCCTAAAACACAAAAACATAATAAATCAGGCAAGTAAAATTAATAGTTGGTCTGTTTCAAAGGCTAGGCACTCTGTAAGGAACAATTCGGTCTTAACGCCAATGATGATTTCAATCAGTACTGACAGGAGGAGGAGGAGGAGGAGGAGTACGTAGCCTATCAAAACAGACCACACCGTAATAATATATTTAATGTATTTTGCAAAATATATCATTAATTTAACAGTACAAGAAAATGAAATTAACTTTTCAATAAAGTGTATATTTTAATGTATGTTTTTTTTTTCTTTTCTTTTTTTTTTATAGGACGAGATACTTATCAATAATTACACAAAATGACGAGAAAGAGAGAGAGAAAAAAATATATATATTCTTATGAAGAATTAACTTCAAATTAATACAAAAGAGCGATTGTTGTATACGTATATTATTATTGTTGTTGCAACATATGACACGAGGAAGAAGTTTGTTTAATTGTTTTTTGAAGAAAAACGACGAGAACGATGATGATAATGATCATCATCATCATCATCATCATCATCATCATCACGATTGCAATTAGTTCTATTTATGTTCACGTTTTCATTTACATTACGCTTAATATGAGAATCATCGATAACATTAGAAAATTGCAATCGTTCTTCTAACGATGATAAAGAATCGCTATACAAAGAAGAACTGTTAAATTCTTCAGGTAAATTATCAACTATCTCAAGTTCTGTCGAATCTAAGAGCCAATTATACAAAGATTCGCGTATTTCGTTATTAGAATTATTTTGATTAGCGAGAAATAAAACTGGTTCACGAAATCTTCCTCCTCGTTCCTCGTGTCGACAACGTTTGCAAATGTATGTTTTATCATTGTCAATGTATTCACGAGTTTTAGAATCCGATTTAGAAAATGGAAATAATTTATTGTATTTAATATCACGATTGTTACGAATTAAACTTGAACTACGAGTTGTACGATTACAATGACGAATCATCGATGGCGATTTAATGGAAGAATGCAACGTTAATGAACGTTGTAAATTCGACGGCATCATTGGACGCAACAACGCTCCTTTGTAATTGTTGGATAATTTAGAAAATGATTTTTTATCGTGATCGTTCTTGGTCGCATTGGACTTCGACATCGACGACGAAGAACGTTCCCTGACATACCGATGATCTTTGCTTTTTTCCTGTAATGCCAATTCCAATTGAGCGATACGATTCTCCAAACGTGTTCGTTGTGCCTGGGCATGATCCTGATGATCTTCCATTTGTTTAACTATTTTCTCCAAACGTAATACCTGCATCTGTTTGTTTTCTAATGTCGCGTACAATTCTTGTATAGCTTCCGTTTTAGCGATTATTTGCTTATTTATCTTCAATTTAAATGTAAAAAAAAAAAGAAGAAAATTATATATTTTAGTTCAAAGAGATATTGATTTTTATACGTTCGCTTTCACGTATTATTTGTTGGCAATTAATATGATGAAATAGGTCAACAAATTGTAACACAAACAAATTGCTTTTAATATTCATTTTTTATATAATATAATAATATATTTTAATAATTATAAGAAGAGCTATATGATTCTGTGCTGGTATTTGTTTTTTATTTTTATTTTAATTAGACCGCGTGACAGCGAACGTATTAATTAAATAATAATAATAAAAAAAAAAGCAGAAAATAAGTGAAATATTACTTCGTCAATGTCTTTATGATGTACTTCGTCGTCATTAGAATTATCTTTATCAACGTGATTATTTTTTCCTTTCATAAGGCTCAACAATTCGTCCCGAACTTTGAGAAATTTACTTTGTTCTCTCATTATACGATCACGTTGTTCAAGCTCAAGTTGCTTTTGCGTAAGAGCTGTTTCCAACTCGGCAGTATGTGATGTTGCCTCTGCTAAACTATTACGAAGATCGGATATCTGTTGTTGAAGTTCAATAACTAGAACGTTAACCGCAGTTTTACCACCCTCTTTCATTTGAACTTGCAAACGATTTTGTATGTCCTGAATTTGTTCCTCCAATGCCTTATTACGTTTTTGACTGAAATTATAATTGAACAAAAATATATATATATATACAATTTGTTATTAAATTTGTATCGATATGAAACATAATTGAAAGAAAGAAAAGAAAAAAAGATGATATTAATATAAAAATGAAATAACGTACAGATTTTCATTAATTTGTTGCAAGTGATTACGTTTCATCGTAACGTCACGAATTTCTTTAGACTTGATCATAAGTTCTGCTATTAATTTATCGTTGGATTCGTCCTCGGCGTTATTCTGTTAGAACATAAAATAAAGACAAAATATCATAGATCGTAAAACGATTCTATATCTTACCGATTAAATTACATTTTGTTTAAACGAATTGACGATAATGTTTTATATATAATATATATATATGTTTTGTTGTTGTTGAATATTTTTATTGTTTATAAAAAGACATGTCTCGAAAGTAATGCAAACTAACAGCCGCTTGATGCATCACAGAAGTTATCTCTTCCTTCTCCTGTTGTAATTTCATTATAGTTACTCTCTGTTCTTCTAATTCCTCTCGTGCAAGTTTTAGATCGTTGAATAGACGAAGCTCGTTTTCCGTATGACTGCCATCTTCGATTTAAAATAATAATAAAAAAGAAAAGAGAGAGAGAAAGAGAAAGAATATAATTCGTGACAAAGTAGAAAATAATTGTATGTAGGGAAATATAAGTATTTGAAGTAATAATAATAATAATATACCCGTTATAGCAAAACTTTTATTCTGTTCCAAAAGTTTGCACATTTCTTGACTTGTTACTTCTAGTTCTTTGTAACGTTCCTTCATTACGGTCAATTCTTTTTCCACTGTTTGCCTATTAAAATTCTAAGAATAATCTCAAAGAAAATAATTATATATATATATATATATTATTATAAACATTATTTATATTTATTATATAACAATATATA